AATCTAGGGCCTTAGACCATTCAGCCAAATTGCCTTACTAGAAGACTCAAACAATTTACTTACCAAAAAACTTGAAGAATCGATAATTTACTTATCCAGAAAATTGAAGACTCTATAAGTTACTTACCCAACAATTAGTTCATAATAAAAAATTATATGCATATACTTCGGGCAATGAAAATTATAGATATGAGCAAAAGCCTGACAGAGCAATGTTGTGCGGAGGTAGAGGGCCTATGGGTCATGAACTACTTTTTGCGTAGAAGAAGCAATGAAGGTATCCAGGGAATAAGCATCGACTAACTCTGTGCCAGTAGTCGAGATACTACAAAGGATGCAAGCATTATCTGGAATGATTGGGCATAAAGTGTATGTAGGTGGCTTTTTTAAGTCCGCCGTCAAATCCCAAGGCTCAACCCTGGACAAGCGATGCAAACTACCAAGCTAGAGCAGTGAAATGCATAGAGATCGAAAAGAACACCAACGACAAAGCATTCTGTTGGGCAAACATTGAAAGTACAAAATTATATGAAGTCCGCCGTCAAATCCCAAGGCTCAACCCTGGACAGGCGATGCAAACTACCAAGCTGGAGCGGTGAAATGCATAGAGATCGAAAAGAACACCAGAACACCAACGTCAAAGCATTCTGTTGGGCAGACATTGAAAGTACAAAATTTACCAAGCTGGAGCGGTGAAATGCATAGAGATCATCGAAAAGAATACCAACGACAAAGCATTCTGTTAAGCAGACATTGAAAGTACAAAATTATATGCATATGCTTGTTTAAGATATGGGTATAGAAAATTACAGATAATGGACAACTATGAAACTTGAACCCATACCCTTTCAAACCAGAGCCTAAATCTAGCGCCTTGACCAAATTTACTTACCCAACAATTAGCTCAAAGCAAAAAGTTATATGCATATATAGGTGTTTGACCAAATTCTCTTACTCTTATTCACAAACAAATTATGGAAAATGACATATGTGGGATTTGAACCCACGTCCTTTCAAAACAAAGCCTAAATCTAGCATCTTAGACCACTCGGACAAAATATCTTACTATAAGACACAAACAACTTACTTACCTAACAACTAACACAAAGAAACAAAAAAGACATATGATTCATGTCGTAGAATGGTAAAGTAATAGTGTATGCCTCTGGGCAGCTCAAGGAGTATGAGGTTAACTACCCGACTCATGACTTAGAGCTAGTATTAGTACCATTTGTACTCAAGATATGACTAAGCTATTTGTATGGGGAGAATATATAAGTATACATTGACCATGAAAGTCTTAAGTATCTATTTACGCAAAAGGAACTTAAGATAAGGTAACAGAGATGATTGAAATTGGTAAAGTATTGTGACATAGAAATTCTCTATCATCCAGGTAAAGCAAACGTTGTAGCTATCACACTAAGCAGGAAGACGATTAACTTATCTGCATTGATTATGATTCTGAAGGAGCTACAATAAGATATCCAAAGAGTTGAGATAGAAGTTATTGTCAAGGCATTGGCTCAGTTAACAATTCAACCCACCTTAAGAAAACATATTATAAATGGTCAAGGAATCGACTCATACCTCAGCAAGATCCTACAACAACAAGCAGTAGACTGACCCAAAGGATTCTTGATTTCATTAGACGATAGCTTGCTTTGGTAGGCCAATTATGCCTCCCCAAGAAAGAGGTGCTCCTAAAAGAGTTATTGCTTGAGGTTCATGACTCCCCTTACACGTTCCACCTAGGGAGCACAAAAATGTACCATAATTTAATATCGTATTATTGGTGGCAAGAAATAAAATATGACGTTGCAAAACATGTGAGTCGATGTTTGACATGCCAACAAATAAAGGTGTCGAGACAATGGACTTAAGATTACCTTAAGACAACCCTTGAGCATTCCCCAATGGAAATGGGAGAAGGTAGCCATGAATTTCATCTCAGGGTTGCCCAAAACTAAGAAAGGATTCATAGTGATATGAGTCATCATCGACAAGTTGACTAAGTCATCTCACTTCATCCCTCGAAAGACAATATAGTCAATCAATAAATGGGTTTAGTTGTACATAGGTGAGATAATTCAACTTCAAGATGTACTAGTTTTCACAGCATCGGATCAAGAAGCAAATCTCACATCTCTTTTCGGGAAAAGCCTTTAAAAGGTATTTGTCACACAACTTAGGTTCATTACGTCATTCTATCCTTAGATAGATGGACAAACCGAGAGGTTGAACCAGATACTTGAGAATATGTAGAGGGCGTGCATCATGATTTCACAAGTAGCTGGGGCGAGCACGTGCATCTCATAGAGTTTGCCTAGAATAATAGTTGTTGGTCGACCATACAAATGACACCTTATGAAGTGTTACATGGACGAAAGTGTCAATCTCCTATCTTTTGAGAAGAAGTAGACAAATAACAGCTACTATGGTCGAAATTGGTTCATGCTACCAACCAATAGTTTAGAAGATCAAGTTAAGGATTCAAGCACCAACCAATAGTTTAGAAATTGGTTTATGGTTTAGGGTAGAAGAACTAGGCATATTCGCGACGGACGGACCTTTAATTCACTATGGAAGCTCATGTATTTTTTAAGATAGCTCCCCTGAGAGTGCTCAAGTTTGGAAAGAAGGGCAAGTTAAGTCCCATCTTCATTTGTCCTTTTTATAATTTGGAAAGGGTTGAATTGGTGGCCAACAATTTAGCACTTTCACCTAACATCTTTGTCGTGCATAATATATTCCACGTCTCAATGTTGTGAAAGTACACTACCGATCTCTCACACATCATTGAGCATGAGACACTTTTCTTAAGAGATGACTTGACTTATGACAAGAAACAAGTACATGTCCATGTAAGGGACGTCAAGAGATTACGTAACAAGGACATTACCTTGGTCAAGGTTCTGTGGAGGAACCATCTAGTTGAGGAGGAGACTTGAGAAGGCAGGAAGAGTGAGATCGTTGTACCCTAGACTTTTTCAAGGCTAGTTAACTTTCAGAGAAGAAAGTTCCTAGGGGGATGATTTGGAACGCCCGAGAAAGTTGAGAACAAGTGAAGGGAAAAAATGTAATTTTTAATTTTTAATCAAGTTATTCTATTTTTAATATTTTAACGGGTAAGAATTTGAAGGTGTTGTAAAAGTTGAGAACATGTTGATCAAATAAGTCAAATATCTCAATCCAAGAACACTTGTTTGAGATTTGAATCACCCCACAAACAATATTGATCATGTCGAGCTTGAATGATTCTACATTCAACCTAAACTACGTAGAATTGCAAAGAAACTTAGTCATTGGCTAAAGAAAGCACAAATGCTCATTTTACTGTATTTTCAAGTCTACCTACCAATACAACATACATGACTTTATATAACTTCAAAATGCAACTATTCAACTATTAAAGGCATTCCAATGGCTTTATATAACCTCAAAATGAAACTATTAAAAACATTCTAAAAGTTGTAACATTCATACTTATAACCTCAAAATGAAACTATTAAAGACATTTCAAGAGTTGTAACCTTGGTACTTTGTGGCCATAAGCATTCCAAGAATGTGTAACATTCATACTGGCCATAATTGACCATTATATACATGTAACCTAAAGTAAAATAAAAAGTCATTAAAATATATTAATGAAATATAATAACTCTAAATTACTCTAAATTGTAATCTACCCAAAATTTATAACAATGAAACTTCATTCTTCTCTAATGTGGCATGAATTGAAATATCTTTTAATAATTTCAACAACATTTTCTTTACATCTTCATTGAAATATATTGTATGATTGATGTTTCTTGGTTCATATCAATGTATTTTGACGGAGTAATGTATTTTAGTGGTTTCTTATTTCTTTGTAAAAGAAAAATTTTCGTTACTATTTTAATCAAATTTCTAAGTGCATGCACGTGTTTAAATATTTTTAATTTTACACACTTTTTCTTATTTTCACCTTAGTAAGTAAGGATCCGTGGCTCAAATTCCTCAAAAAGCGAGTCAGGTTGTTACACTATGAGTGACTTGAATATTGGTGATAATATCAACAACTAAAAAACGTTCTCACAAACCGATAAAGACTTAAAAATGGTGGACTAGAGCCTAATTCTAGCACTTTAGACCATCCTGTCAAATTGTCTTACTTTTTAAATTTATTGGCTTTTGTGGCCCTTAATCTTATTTTAATGAATTAATTCATTAATGTTTTGATGATAATAAACTTACTCTTATTTTCATATTTTTAACTTTACATCGTATAAGGTTGGAAATAACGATTTCAACCATTTTTCAATCACTCAAATGTGAACTAAACGAAAAAATTACTAGACAAGATGCAGGACGTAATATGTGGCAGCTAAATTAACTCCACAAACCGATCAAACTATGACACTTATAATTTTGGGAGAGTAACAAATTGTAGAGTTTTTCATTTTAAAATTACTTTTAAATAGAAAAAAAAATCTAGAGTTGTGGGTGTTCTTACCAAATTTAATTTGTGTGTTCTTGCAAAATTCAAATACTTGTACCGGTTTGATCCTGAGTCGTGAAAATGATTGAGTTTGTTTTGAAGTAAAAAGAGCTGTGTAGTGATTGAGCTCTGATCCAAATTCCCAAGAGGCGATTGGGAGGAGTGGAGTATTGTTTAATTTCAAAATTATTATTCTGATCTACGGTTGGTTATAAGTTGTTGATTATTGTTTTGACTTAAACTATTTTGTTCTATTAATTATCATAAAAAATTTCGTAATTAGAAAAATTAATCACACTTAAATATTTTATCGTTAAATTTCTATTCACCCCTCGCATCCAACAAAATTGAGCCTAGCTTATCTTATAGTTATATAACATGACCCAATCAAATCAAGTGATTAACTATTGATTGATGAATAAAATTGCACTACTTTTATTTAGTGACATAATAAGTTGATTGAATTAAATTTTGTAATGAATATGGTACAGCATAAACGAGTGGGCCCGACTTCAATAATTGTGGACCGCCATTTCCAGAGGTCCGAAAAAGCTCTCACATCTCAATTTCTGATCCCCAGACCTAATCCTCTTATCGTCACTGCTTCCCTTTGCTTTCTTCATTCTCTGCAAAACCCTAGACCCCCCGTCAAAGCTTCCTCTACTCTTCCATGGCAAGGAAGCGAAAGCTCGACTCCTCTAAATCCTCCGAGCCTCCTAAGAAGCTCCAACAGCAAGAAGCTCAAGCCGTCCTCGACGAGTCTAAGCCCCAGAATGAACCCCTCAAGGAAGTCGTTGCTGAGGATCTTTCGAATTACGAGGTGGTCGAGGAAGAAGACGATGCCGATCAAGACGATGATAACGAGGGGGAGGAGGAGGAGGAGGAGGAGGAGGATGACGAGGAGGAGGAGGATGATGAAGTCGATGCGGATGTCGATAACCACCATCAAGCCCCCAATATTTCCTCCTCCTCCGCCGCTGCTGCAACTACTTCTGACGACGACGACGAAGACGAGCCAATTCACAATCTCTTGGATCCTTTCGGCAAGGACCAGCTTATAAATCTGCTTTGCGAAGCGTCGGAGAAGCATGCGGATGTGGCTGAAAGGATTCGAACGGTTGCTGATGCGGACCCGACCCAACGCAAGATTTTTGTTCACGGGCTAGGATGGGATACAAATGCCGAAACTTTGATCAGTGTGTTCAAGGAATATGGTGAGATTGAGGACTGCAAAGCTGTGTGTGATAAGGTCTCTGGTAAGTCCAAGGGTTACGGTTTCATCCTCTTCAAGAAGCGCAGTGGGGCTCGGAAAGCTCTGAAGGAACCCCAGAAGAAGATTGGCAATAGGATGACTGCCTGTCAGTTGGCTTCGGTCGGGCCTGTTCCAACGTCTAGTGCGGTGGCAGCCCCCCAAGGACCACCTGCTTCCGAATATACGCAGAGGAAGATTTATGTGAGCAATGTCGGAGCTGATGTTGACCCCCAGAAGTTGCTCACTTTCTTTTCCCAGTTCGGTGAAGTTGATGAAGGACCATTGGGGCTTGACAAGACGACGGGTAAGCCTAAAGGTTTCTGTCTATTTGTGTACAAGACGATAGAAAGTGCGAGGAAGGCATTGTTGGAGCCCCACAAAAATTTTGAGGGTCATGTCTTGCATTGTCAGAAGGCGATCGACGGTCCCAAGCCAGGGAAGTCTCAGCACCAGCATCATACACAAAATGCGCCGTTTCAGAGGAATAAGAATCCTAATTATGCAGGTGGGGCGACATCAGGATCGGGACACTTGATGGCGCCTGCAGGGCCTGGTGTTGGTTATAACCAAGGACCTCCACAAGCATTGAACCCGGCTCTTGGCCAGGCCCTTACTGCTTTGCTGGCGGGTCAGGGTGCTGGGTTGGGACTGACTAATTTGTTAGGGACAATCGGATCTACTTCAGGGCTTAATCCAGTCATACAAGGCGCTGGACCTGGAGTACAAGGTGGGTATGGGAGTCAAGCAAATATAAGCCCTGGAGTGATGGGATATGGAAGTCAAAGTGGTGTGCAGGGTGGATATCCAACCCAACATATGGAACAGGGTGGAACTGGAAGAGGAGGGCAGCATGGGGTTGGGCAGTATGGTGGTCCTGGCGGTTATATGGGGCACTAGTGCCTCGATGCGGTACAGATTCACTCTCCTTATACTCCTTATTCTTTTGCTTTATCTTAATATATGTATACTAACGTACTAATCTTTGAATGGTTGAGCTATGGAAGATATTAGCTATTGTTATAGAAGGATATGACCTTAGATTGAACAAAAAATGGCATTTGTGGAGTAAAAGATTGGTTGGTTGAAATACTTCTGTTGGTGACAGGACTATTAGATGGTAACAATATGACATCCCTTTTCTTATGTTGTAGGCTGATTTCACTAACCAATATTGCTGTCAGATTCCATTTAAGAATGGTAATGGCTGTGGGATTTTCGTGATGTACTCATTGAACTTGTGTAGTTAAGTTCTGAAGTGTTTTTTTGTGCTTTCAGATTTTAACTATGTATTTGTGTTTGTGCTTATTTTAGGTTCCCTGTGTTTAAATTAAGTTTGACTCATGATTTTTCTGACTTTTTGATGTTAGTATCCTAGGATGATGTAATTGATCTGTTACTTTTTTATGTTGAAGGTTTTCTAGAGTTTGGCAATTTTATATCTAAACATTATTTAACTACAATCCATTGTTTAGCTATTTAGCACTCTTTTTGAAACTATCCATGGGAGTGCAATAGAATGCTTTAAATTCTGTTTTAAGATTATGGAGAGAAGCTCTTGTTCTTTCAATTCAAAGCTTCAATATAAAAGTTATTTGCTTTCTCCCTCCTTTTACCTTTCTTCTTCTTCCTTGTTTTTTCCTCCTCCATTTTCTTTAGAAGCTAATATTTCTCCACTTTAGCATGCTATAAACCAATTTAGGTCTCATGTTTAGTGCGTTACCTGTTTTCTTGGGATAAGGATGTTGGGAAGTGATCTTGATTTGTGATAGTTTTCTACTCACTTTTTGGAGCCCAATGATGGTTTTCCCCATCTTCATATCATAACTAAAAGTATTTATCGGAAGTCAAAACATCTTTCTTCTCCACATGATATCCTGAATTTAAATAGCCCTATTGAACAATTTGAAAAGGATGTTTCTGAAAATTTTGTTTTCTGAAATTATTCTTTCATGCTATCTTATTCGTTGTGCAGATCTCACTCATATGTGCGACAGTATTTTTGTACTGATCAGGTGATTCTCTGAAGTTTAAGGAGCTGATGCAAATGACGTTTTCGACCCTCTTCATTTAAGCTTTGTTTTAAATCTGTAGTTTTTGATCTATTGAAGATTTGTTTCAAAGATTTGGATCAGTTTTAGTACTTTTGAGTAAAACTATGTAACCTCTAGCTCAATGTTTGACCAAAAATATTTCAAACTCTTTCGCCCCTATGGTTTTAATAGATCTTGCACTTGACAGTAAGGTTATGGCTTATTCTTTTTCATTGATTTCTTTTGTGATTATTCCAACTAAAATTCTATGCTTTGCAAGGGTTTATTCCCAATTACTATTTACATCTCTTAGCTTTATTGCTCTTGAAAATTTTGAAATTCATCTCTATCTGGGTTTACAATGATATTTTTCTTTTTATGCTTTGGGAAACTGTAAAACGTGGGTTGTTTTAGTTTATATTTTTTACCTTTGGCATTAAAATCCTAGTCTGAGAATCTGCTTATCCAAATTATTTTCATGGTTCATCCCCTTCACATCTTTTCTTCCTTGTGCAAGAGTTAGTTCTAGAAGCTATTGTTATTGTTCTTGAAAGGTTTCTGATTTTAAAACATGTATCACACTGTCCTTTGATCCACAAATTTCAATTTCCATTGAGCTTTTTATATTGGTTTTACGTGTGGCTAGCTGAGGTCTGGATCACATATTGTTTATGCTATGAGTTTGTGGTTTGCATATGATAGTTAATATTAATCTAATCAGGTTGCTCGGTTGGAATGAAGGGCTACTATTTTGCAGGTTGTCTCCTTCGTAAGGTATTTTCATTCTTGTATTTTTTTTCTTCGTAAAGCCTAGAGTTTCTTTTACAGCACCAAAGGCTCTGAGGGATCGGTGCTATCTTATGCTAAAAATCATTTATTTTTTGCATTTTGTATGTTTTCACTAGGATGCTATTAGGGTTATATGTTATCTACATTTAAAAAAATAGAAACAGTAGTACTTCAAACTTTTGAATTTACCAAGTTAGAGGGTTGGCTTTAGGTCTATTAGACATAGATTTTAATCCAATGGGTTTATTGAGTTCATTATCATTTCCTTTATAATGTATAATACTAGGTCATTAATCTCGTTAAAGTGATTACGTCAAGACTTGTCCATCTTGTAAAAGTGATTGTTCTCCTTTTCTTTTCTTGTTATCACTTTTTCTCATCAAGTTCGCCTGCACCATTCAAATCCTTTTTATATGTGTAAGCATCTTCATACTTTCAATCTTATGAAGAACATACTTGCTTCAATATTTTTCATGAGATAATTTTTTTTTTTGTTGAATTTTAATTTGTGGTGTTCTTTGATTTGCTGAGTGAACTTCTTTGATTTTTTGCTTTTTTCCATCTCAATATGATTTATAATCTAAGGGTAGGAGACATGACTGGTGTGCCGTTTAATCCTAGCAATTGTTGAATATATATATTTTTATTATCTTGGGATAGACTGTGTGTGTAGGTTTATCAATGTCTTGTGGGCTTGCAATTTCTAAAAGCTAGTCAGAAAAGTTCATAGGTCTTGAGGAAAAAAATGGGTTGCTTGACAGTGATTCGTCTCCATTTCCTTGTATTCATCTGTTTTAGCCGCTTTAATACTCTCAATTCAAATCTTTCATTATCTAGTATGTTGCGACATTTAGTTTTCGATTTAGTCACAGTTTTTGGATCTGTAGATTGCTCATAGTCGTAGAAATGTCTGAAGAACATGAATGTTGATTTAGTCACAGCTTTTGGATCTGTGGATTGCTCTTAGTCATAGAAACGTCTGAGGAGCATGAATGTCGATTTAGTCACAGTTTTTGGATCAGTGGATTGCTCGTAGTCGTAGAAATGTCTGAAGAGCATGAATGTCGAAATAGTCACAGTTTTTGAATCTATGGATTGCTCTTAGTCGTAGAAATGTCTGAAGAGCATGAAGGTCGATTTAGTCGCAAGTTTTGGGTCATTGGATTGCTCTTAGTCGTAGAAATGTCCGAAGAGCATGAAGCTCGATTTAGACACAATTTTTGGATCAGTGGATTGTTGCTCTTATTGATAGAAATGTCTGAAGAGCATGACTATCTTAGCTTAATCTCATTGGAGTCACTTTGAGAGAGAGTTTGGAATGTATTTGTTGTACTAACAATATTTGTAGTGTCTTCTTGGCTTTGTGTATTTCAGCATTTTATGACGCATAGATATTCCTTTTGAGAACCTCTGTTTTGAAGTTGGTTCACACGTCACATGTGGATGTAGGGATAGAACAAGTCAGTAATGGCGTTCACCTGAATAGCCTTATAAATTAAATGTCTTGGTTTGGTTTGTATTAGAACTGGGTAGAGCCTGCATGAATGAATCTTTTAAAATTGATCCTTATCCCTTAACCCAATTTCCTAAACAGTATTTTATCCATCTGATTTTATGTTGGGTAGCTTATAGTTTGAATATATTTTTACAAACTCTTTCAAGATTTAAATTTTCGATTCGAATTCATTTATAAAAATTCTAAAATATTTTTGAAATGACTTTTGGTATTGATGAAATAGTAAATTGTTTCTTAGTGACAGGAGTTGTTTTTGCTTTAATTTCTTAGGGATAATGATTTTTTGTAAAATTTTTCTTTCTTTTTCTTTGAATTTTTAGATCATCCACGTGGTTTTTGCTTGAAAATTACTAAAAAAGAATAAATCAAATTAAAGAGGATAAAATAATATGGATTAAAAAAAGTACCATACATCCATTGCAGTTGCAAGAAGTTGAGAATCATATTTTATAGTTCACTTGAACTTAAAAAGTAACATAATAAATATAAAGATATGAATATGATTTAATTTGAAGTGTTTTAAGTTAAATATACAGTGAATAAGACTATAATATTTAAAGTTTTAAGACGTTTAAATTACGAAATATATATTTTTATGATATTTATATATATGATGTAAAATATTATATCCTATTAAGTTAAATGATGAGATAAAATGTATATTTAAAAATTAATAATAAATTAAAGTTGATTGGCTCCATCTAACTTAGTTTTAAGGAACTAACTAAATCTATAAATAATTATTTATTTGAATTTAATTCAACATAAATAAATCCCAAGTTCATTAGATTCATTTGTAAGTTTGGATAAATGAATATTTTTTTTAAGATTCATTCATTATTTCAGATAAATGAATTTTTTTTAAGGTGAAATTGAGAAATTTTTTTAAGGTGAAATTGAGGAGGTAACTATTCTAGCTTTAACATATTGTTACCTTTAGTCTATTAATTTGCGTTAATGTATTATGGATTGAGCTCACTGATAACCGTTAACATATTATGGATTGAGCTCACTGACAACCGATGTGGTTTTTTTTTTTTGTTCTTTTAGCGTATTAATTTACTTTAGCTCATTACGAATCACCAGCCTATTGATAACGTACTGTATCTTTAGCCTATTAGCTTTAACCCATTACAGATCGCGAGCCCATTAACAGATAGTATTGTTCTCTTTAGTCTATTAGTTTGCTTTAGCCTATTATAAATCACCCCGAGCCCATTAACAGATAGTATTGTTCTCTTTAGTCTATTAGTTTGCTTTAGCCTATTATAAATCACCCCTCGTAATTATAAAATGGGTCATAATAAGTTTCTAAACCATTATACCTCACACTTAATTTCCCTCTAGGAGGTTCCACACATCTTTTGGCTATTCAAATTTTGGAGTGTACAAAACATGACAAGGAAAAAGGTTTTTTTTTTTTTTTTTTTTTTTTTTTTTCAAAATAAATATTTGTCGTCGTCCGTAAAGGAACTTTAAGTGGGTCTCGCAGCTTCAGTAGTTTTTCAGTCCACTACTCAGTTGAGTTTGGGTTGAATAAAGGATCTCTCTCTCTCGCTCTCTTTCTCTCTATAGCCTGTATTTCCAGCTATTCAGACGAACTTCCGAAGGAATTGAGATCAATCTCATGGAGAATCACAAGGAGGTAATTCTTCAACTCATGCTTCTGGCTTCATTGATTTTTGGTTTTTCTCGCGAAAAAATGGTGGAAGTTAACGAGGATGATTCCGATCTCTTGTTCTTGCTGCCTTTTCTTGAGTAGGACGATTAACAAAACCTTAGTGGATTTGCAGAAATTAGATTACTAACTGCTCAAAATACATCGAAGATTTTTATTATTTTAATCATTTTGATGCACTTTCTCGGCAACCAAACAGAAGTTAGAGAGTGTATTCCTTGATCTTGTACTGTATGAAATCATCGGTTTGCGTAGAATGATTGAACACTTTCTGAAATTCGACCTTCGACATTTTCTCTTCCCGAATTCTTTGTTCAAGTTCTGCTGTGTCTTCTTCTGCTTCCGATTTCTCTTCTTACAAATTTCAATTAGTTTCTTCTTCTGCGAGATTCCAATCTTTCATGATTCGAAACTTTCGTCTCTAAATTCGTTCCTTCCTTTTCTCGATAATCTCTGTTGATTCGTTTCTGATGTTACTCCGCTCTCTGACATCGAAATTGCCGAATTCTGTAGTCCAATCCAGGACTTGAATAGTTAGCTATTGGATGAAATTTCAGTTTGTTGAATGAATTTTTTGAAAACTCGTCTGCAAGAGATTTTGAGCCTAAGGCCGGTCCAATCCTTTGCAGTAGATAAGATGAAAAAATTGGGGCAAATTTTTAATCATATCTATTTCATTTTTACTCGCTTCTCGAGGGAGTTCAAATCAATCGTCAAATCAATCAGTAGGTTCATTATTGACAGTGAGCCAGTAACTAAACCTACTAGTAAACCATGTATCATATAACAATTTTGTGTGGGATGAAGACCATTCTCCATAATGATATTCGTTGATTATAAATTTAAGATAATTCTTTGTTGCGAGACTTTCATCCAACACTTTCTCTCGAACAAAGTATGCTTCCCTTTAATTGAGACTCGACTCATTTTCTTTCTATATCTTAGTCATTTTTTTCTATGCCTTCAACGCTCACAGTACTATTGTTTGACTCTAATAACGTGTTAGATGAATACGACTCTCTACAATTGTATGATATTGTCCAGTTTGAGCATAAGCACTCATAGCTTTGCTTTTGGGCTTCCCCAAAAGGCTTCATTTAAATGGAGATAGTATTGATTGATTATAAATCTATGATCATTCCCTAAATTAGTCGACTTTGGAACTTTTAAGCCATGGGCTTCCCCAAAAGACCTCATTCCAATGGAGTTAGTATTGATCGGTTATAAACTTATGATCATTTCCTAAATTAGCCGACTTTGAAACTTTTAAGCCATGGGCTTCCCCAAAAGGTCTCATTCATCAATAATTAGATGAAAGTGAAAATCCATACTCATCAAAATTTTGACGAATGTGGAATTCCATAATCATCAATAATGTGATGAAAATGGGAAAAGGTGAAAATAATAATACAAATGTGGAAAAGTGAAAATAATAAAAGAGAAGATAGAAGACAAATAAACATTGAGAGGAGAAATGTTTCATCTTGACATATTTCGACTACGATTTTTTTTTATTTTATTTTATTTTTACAATTAGTTTAACGACTATTCAGTCATTGAGATGATGATATCTACAAAGGTGGTTGAGAATCCAAAAATGGATCATTGAGATCATAAATCGTGTCTTCATCTTCTTCTTCTACAATAGAAGGAGAAGACGTCGAACCGACTAATGCGGCCTCTTGAAGAAGCTTTTGAAAATCAGCTTCCGAAGTTGTCTGGGCTAATGCAGCGAGTAGCTTCGACTTTGAATTAAGGAATTCGGAGGTTCTCTTTTTGGATAAATCCTGAAGGTAGCCATTCTCAGATAGCCTGACCTTTACCGCATTGATGTTTGCGTGGGTATAAGTATATTTATCCCACTATTTGATTTTGATAGTTTTGAAGACCTGTTTTATTTGGTGTTCGGTTTCCTTAATTTGAAAATTCCAAGTTAAAATCCAAGGAATTTGAAAGTATACGCAAAAGCGCATGGTTAGAACGAAGTAGTGGAACGATTTCTTTATTGGAACTTGCTTCAATTACTATATGCTAGTTACAATCTTTAGGATTGACTAATTGGACACGAATTCATGGATTTACGGAAATTTTTGTGTAATTATCAACTACAACTTATGTTTTCAAATTTTTAGGACATAATTTAGGTAGTTGTTTTTATGAGTCGTAAACTTGTTTCTTTGCATAATATGGATTTAGTTGAACTATTATTATCCATAAGATGGAGATAGAAATTGTGTTTGAATTGACTAATAGACCTAGGTTCTTCATTGTTGTCTTTTAACTTGTGATTTTGCAAAAAGCTTAACTAATATGAACTGTCATGTCACAAGAACTTTAAATCAAGAATATACCCTACACATCATTCAAGATGGCAATAAAATGGAGTTAAATTGAACGCACTCTAGTTTCATGTTTGGCGTGTTCAAGATAAAACATAATTGTATTAATGATATTGAATCTGGAGTCTATAAAAATTTAATGATCTTAAGAGAAATTCCTGTTATATATGGTACTAGGAGTTCAAGAATCTGGAACCATACGATTTGAAAGTTTTGAATTCTAGACCAAATTTATACCTAATTATTTCTTTTTACGACTAATTATAAATTAAGAGAAAAATATTTTTGTAAAGATAGATTTATCTCTAAAGCTTTCGTGACCAAACCATGTTTAGACTAGCAGTTTAAAGTCAGGAGATGCGGTCACAGGTGTGATTATTTGGGATGGGTTTGTAATAGAACTTATCGTTGAGATGAGGGAGCCTTCAAAGGTTGTGCACTCACAGATGGGGTTGTTATGTAGCGTTAGTCTGTCTTTGTGTTTGAGTTTTTTTGTACTTTTTTTTTTTTTT